TTCTAAACTTGAGAAACTGGTCTCCTCTGTCCTCAGACGTCTGTTGAGTGTTGTAAGAAAAAGGGGGGATGCCACACAGTGGTAAAAATGGACTTGTCCCAACTTTTTTGGGATTTGTTGACGCCATGAAATTAGGAAACAACAGATGTTTCCCTTAAAATGATACATTCTCTCAGTTTAAACTTTGGATCTGTGATTTGTGTTCTATTCTGAATAAAATATTAGATGTTGGCACCTCCACATCATTACATTCAGTTTTTATTCACAGTTTGGTTAGTGTCCCAACTTTTTTGGAATCCGGTTTGTAATTTTGTCACATACCTGGCGTATTTTCTTTTGAACTTTGCACAGCCAAAGTGAAACAGGAAGTGACATCAAAGGGGAACTCTTTAAAAAGGCCAACTGCCTGGTCTTTGTTTATTGAAATAATATTATTTGAACAATGGCTCTTCTTTGTCTGTGATGGTGACTCAAAACAATCTGAAGAAACATGATTCTTCCCTTCTGTCTGTGTTGTTAATCATGTAGCAATGCTCTGTTTACGTGCAGGTGTTCCCCTTTGACATCACTTCCTGTTCCTGCACATGAGAATATCTTAACAACTGTTCATCTCAGTGGCATGAAACTGTTTTTGCAATATGTTATTAATGTTATGTTTCCAAAAAATGCATTCAGAATCATTACCAAAATTTGATGCAACAGGCACTTTAATAGACCCGACCCCGGATAAGCGGAAGAAAATGGATGGATGGATGGATGGATGGATGGAGGCACTTTAATATAAAATTTGAAATAAATTTATATGAATGAGTTAAATACTAAATTTCTCCGAATTTTTTTATTTACATTTTTTACAAACTTATGTTCAGATAACATAAAAAATACAGAATTTTAAAATACAAAATATAGATAAAAAATTTTTTTAATGGTTTTAATTACCATATTTTCTGCCATACCTGTCGCACCACCCTATAAGTCGCATCAGTTCAAATATGTCTAAAAAAGTTTTTAAAAATCCATAAATATGTCTCTTCGCCGTATATGTTGCATCTATTATACGTCACCGCTGTCACGTCATGTTTGTTATGCGTCACCGCTGACAACCCGGAAATGTGGGTCGAACCTGGAAATGTGGGCCGGTGTTGTGCCAAAAATCGATGGGCTGTCAAATGTACGGGAGGACTTTAACAAGATTAACACTTAAAAACAATTATTTGTTTCCTCAAAATTATAGCAAAGGTGTGTCTCAGTTGAACGTTTACTTAATAAATGCACTTTAATGGTTAAATTAGCTGCATTTCGCCGGAGTGATGCAGCTGGTTTGAAGGTTGCTCCAAGCAGCGAGCAGAACGAAGGTGGAAGACTATGGCAAGCTGATTGTGTCCTTAATAGCTGGTGAAGATTCTCAGTCATTCAAGACATGGTAAATTCAAAATAAAGTTCAATACAAAAACAAAGTATAAAGTATAATAAATAAAATCCAGTTTTTTTTGTCTTGAACTTTTTTAAATTTGTCATTATAGCCACTTTTACCCACATGATACGACATGCCTTACTGCTACTACTACTCTGCTGACATCTAGTGGCTGAAAATGGTACTGTTCATTTTTTATTTTTTCAGTCAGAATGAATGAAAACGGTTATATCTCAGCCAAAAATTGCTTTATAAATATGGGAAAAAAAATCCATAAATATGTCGCTTCGGCCTATAAGTTGCAGGGCATGTAAATTATGCAAAAAAATGTGACTTATAGGCCGAAAAATAGGGTGCTCTTATTGACAACTCATTTTTATATTTTTCCTTTTCGCATTTGTTTATTTTCCCAGCTTTTAGCTTCTCATTACTAACTGTCAGCAACACCTCTTTTCCTCTTCCTCTGCCTCCTCCTCCCCGTCCTTCTGAGGATGAAACTCATTTTTCCACCCGGTCAGCTGTCAGCACCGTCTGTCCATCTCCTTCAGGGACCTCCTGCTTGTCAGCATCATCCCATAATGACGGTGTCGTCTCTGGTGGAGCAGAACCGTCCCTATTTTTAGATCAGAACCACGCTGTTTTTTAATAAGCAGGAAACAGAAACCAGAACCAGCCAGGGAACTTGTCTCTCCAGGTGTTTAGCAGGAAATTTTTTTTTTCTTATTTTCAGTCATGATTGCCTTTCTTCATCTAACTCAAGAGGCAAAATGTTTTCACTTTGTTGACAAATTAATGAAAACTTTTTGTCTAGTACAGGGGTCTGCAACATGCGGCTCTCGGGCTGTATGCAGGTCTTTGTAATTATGATCAAAACAGAGAAGATTTATATTTATGACTTTTATATATTCATTCAATCATTGAGCCTCGAGAACTCATTTACAAGAGAGACCTGAACGTCGTCGTTGTTTTTTTTTAGACGGCTGAAGAGAGACGGCTATGGATGAGTTTCTGCGAATGTACCAATAAAACTTCTAAGAAAACAAAACAACATAAAAAGTATTGATCAGTTTATGCTAGCAGCTTGTTAGCCTATTGGCCACTTTAATAATCTGGCTTCCAGCCAATTTATTATTATTTTTTTTTCACTAAAATTAGACAGAAAATTAAACCTTTTCAACACAATTGAGGAAACCCAACATTTTTCAGTCAGGTCATCTGGACAGTTTCTTTTTTTTTTTTTTTTGTGCTGAAACATTTCACCTTCCATCCAGAAGACTTCATCAATCAAGGAAACGCACAACACAAAACTGATTCTTCCCCCAACAGCTTACTCCAAAGTTGAACAAACCAGTTATGTTGGTGCTATCTTAGCACCAACATAACTGGTTAATTCATACAAGCAGAAATGTTTTTATTTTTTTATTTCTGTAAAGGTCGCAAACCTCCCATCAGGAAGCCTAAATCTTTACGACAGGATGTAGAAGCCTTAAAAATGAACTTAAATGTACGGAAAATGCTGCTGGAGATGAGACAACAGCTGACAAGGTCTTAAAGTAAGGTGCTGACCTTTGACCTCCCATCTGGTTCAGTCTGAGTGTGCGGCTCATGTCTCGAACCTCCACGACTCGTCTCAGTTAAGTCGTCTCTCCTCAATCTTGAGCCTTTTGGTTTTATATTTTGAAGCATCCCAATTTCCTGCCAGGGGGCTGTTCGTTTTGCTCACCAGATGCTCATTTTCAGGCAGACGTCGGATCAGGTTCACTTTAACTGGGGTCTATATTTAGACAAGAAGACGGCATGGAGACTGAATCAGCGGACTGGGTGCCACAGAAAAAGATCTTAGTGGACAAGTGGTGAGGAGGAAATCATGACGACGGCTTAGTTTGGTTTAAACGACTAACCTGGATTTTGTAGGTCATTCAGGTTTATTTAAAACCTATTTTTAAAGAAAACATAAACAAAAGAGTATAAAATATTGAGCTTATGAGGAGATTTACAAAACTACAAGAGCGATATTAACATAGACCACAGGAAATCCCCAAGGTTAATGAATTTAGTATTAAATGAAATAGATGAATGAAAGAGACCAGATTAAAATTGCATTAATCCAATATTTATTCATAAAATGACTCTGAGCTATTCCATTTAAAAGGTTTGCACTCCTCTGCTACGTGATGACCATAAATAATTAAGTAAGCAGCCACGATCAGGTGACTGGTTCTTAACGAGGCCACCGTCCAGGAACAGGAGTGTGGATTTACACAGCTCACATGTCGGAGCTTTGACTTGCTCCAAGTATGTAACTGAATAAATTTATTCGGCTGCTTCACTTTGTTTCATTATGTCATGTTCATTACATTTTTTTATTCTTTGTTCATTTTTTTTTTGTCTTATTTGTAGAAAATAAATGATAAATCTGATGAAAAACTATTGCGTATTCTTCGATACATGCACAGTTTGATTGTGTGGAACATAAACTCATTGCTCTGCAAAATGGCCACATGGTGGAGAGGTTTGAGCACCACCATGGTCCTGGGGTAATCTTCAGAGTCTGGTAGGGTTTCTTGTGCCATGTTGGCACCATGGGAGAGTCAAGACTTAAGAGTGATTCAAAAACATTGATGACGATGAAGAACAAAAAATATACTACTTTGCCTTGCACAAGGAAACTGAGGCACCCTCCTGGAGCCAGGCCTGGTTTGTGTCCCTGTTGATTTCTGGCATCATAATCTGGCTTTTACGGTCCAATCCACCTATGGCCATGAAGTAAAGTTCATGGACACTAATGGCTGAAATGAGCTTCCTCTGCAGGGTGGATGGGCTCAGCCTTGGAGATAAGGTGGTTGATGTGGTTAGGCTCCAAGGAAGGAAGGAAGGAAGGAAGGTAGGTAGGTAGGTAGGTAGGTAGGTAGGAAGGTAGGTAGGTAGGAAGCAAGGAAGGAAGGAAGGAAGGAAGGAAGGAAGGAAGGAAGGAAGGAAG